AATTAGCAACAATACCTATTTATAGTAAAATTAGCAACAATACATTTCCATAGCAACATGACTAGCAATACATTTTATCTGTACTTGAATGCATACAATTGTATTCAAAATATATTTAGTTGAAGCCATAAAATTATTCAAATTATTTACATTTCAGCATTAAATAACCAATAGAGGTGGATATGCCGCTAAACAAAATCAACCAGTATTGGGGTGGGTTGAAAAAAAAGAGAGAGAGAGAGAGACTTCTTTGCAGTAGACAGTTGTCCTGATTAATACTTTGGTAGCTAGGAGTGAACCAGCCTCTGTCCTGCTTTCTGGCAAAAGGATAAAGAGAAATGATATTAAAGCCCCCTCTTTTCCTAGATTTATATTGAGGTCAGTTAGAGTACAGTGAGTGCTAGTAGAATTGTCCTTTGCTTTGGTACAGAGTCTTTGATCTTTTGTTTTGCTTATCCAAGTATCTTGTTTCAAAAACAAAGCTAGCTGATTGACCTAACCTTAAGAATTTCCATGTTAATGTTGAGGTGTTAAGTACATGATACTTTTCAGGGAATTTAAGAAATATTTTTTTTATTTTATTTATTAAACTTTGCCTACTAATGCACGCTTGAGCATATCTTAGTGGATAAACCTTTTTTTATTAAAATTTTGAATAAATTTTAACGTTCAAAATTATAACAAAAAATAAAAGTCTCACTTTCAAGATAAAGTCACAGATGTAATCTCAGGAATTAGGTTCCAATTCTATTCAACTGCAGTCCATGAATGTACACATTAATTGGGTCTTCTCGAAAGAAAATAAAATCTAATAAATATAGTCGATATTTAAAACAACTTTTCCCTCATTCCCGGAAAAGTTTTATTAAAATATGATGTAACATAATAAAGACAAAGAAGTGTCCCATCTTATTGAAAACAACATTCCTCTTCTATCAAATAACCGTAAGAATCTCTGTCAGGAATGACTTTGAATTCTGAAGCATGTGTGCATTTGGCTGAGAATATCTACAAACAAAAGGATTCCATTAGCAATAATGAAATAATATAAGACAACAACCACAAAAGCTACTTTTGTACACATTCTTCATCAAATCTGATGAAAAGTTTATTGATAAAAATAGCTTATTATTTGAAGTAGTGAATTTCTTAAGCATGACTGTTTTTAGTTTCTACTTTAGTTAAAATCTCTAATTTTCAAAACAGCTAATATAAATCTAAAATTTTTATATATATATATATATATATATATATATATATATATATATATATAGAGAGAGAGAGAGAGAGGTTTTTTACACAGAATATGTTAAAAATCCAGTCTCAAATTAATGGCGTATTTGCCTCTTAAGCAAATTTTTCATCTTGACTCTCCATTAATTTGTAGACTTTGAAATTAAAAACATGATTTGCAGAAATGTTTGTCAACTGACAACTCAGTTTCCCCTTGAAAAGCGTGGGGGAAAAGTGCTAAAACAAAGCAAATAAACTGTTAACTTTGAAAGCATAAAAATGAAAAAAAATACTGAAATTTAATATTTCCAGAAAATAAGAAAAAAAAGGTTTTAGTAAAATGGAAGTGGAAGCTGAAGAAAAGTAACTGGGTTTAAAGAAGTTGTTCTAAAAATTCAAGCATTTGTGTCCAGCCTCAGAATAAAGTACCAAAGGAAAAAAAAGCATGATTTAGATTTAAAAGTGCGTATTTGGAAGTGGAGTAAAGAAAAAGTTTTGATGGTTTGCCATGGTGATTAGTCAAACATTAAACTCGAAAAAAAAATTCTCATTTGTAGTTGTGCTTTGCTAGCAGTGGAGGACAAAGCAAACAGCGCTACTTACCTTGAAGAGAGACCGTTTTGGCAGATAAAAAGTGCTTTTGGGTTTTTGTTTGCTTGTTGTTTCTGGCAAGTCACAACAAGAAATACTCATCTGTAGACAAAATACAGTAGCAGTTAATGACAATTAACATGTTTATTTTCAGAAAGTCACCCAAAAAGGTGATGCTGTCTTCTAACAGCAGTTTTCAGCCAGCTTTGAATGGTGGGTGTTGGAAACATTAACCATCAGGAAGAAATTAAGAATTCATTCATTTCAAGAACTCGTTCTTTCACCCATTCAAAGACAGTTGGAAATTTTATTTTAAAAAAAACTGCTACAGACTGATAAAGATTTACAGTGAGAATAGGGACATTATATTTCCATCCACTCACAATTAATTGATGATGCTATTTTCTACTTAGAGGTTTCATTTTACATAAAATAAAAATTTAGTAATAAAATTAAACAGTCTTTTTAAAATTAATAGATCTTACTTTTAGGAGTCAAAATTGAAGTTTAAATATTTAAGGCACTGTTCAAAAGAAAAAAAAACCCAGAAAATAAATCATACTTTTAGGAGTTTTTTGGTCTTCTCTCATAAACTAACCTATATAGCAACAATCTGTTTATAAAACCATAAAAAATGACCACAATAAGCAATTTCATTCTTTCTTATACAAGAAACAAATTTTCCCCAACATGAAAATTTCACTGCATAGAATGTTTATTCTTGAGCAACATATTTTTTATAAGATTTTTAGAATAATATCAGTTCTGTCAAAAATTGACAAAAATTTAATTTGGTCAATTATTATCCAGTTTGTAATTTTTCTTAATAAAATTTTACAAAGTGAAAATATCAATTACATGTAAATAATCTGAACGGAAATAAAAAGATTCAAATATTTGGTGACAGTGTAATACGTGCTTGAAACCAGGTCTGAATCAAATTAAATGTTCATCTTCTTGATTTAAGAAGAGTTGATCTGTAGTGACCCCAATATGTACTTGGTTCACCCTAATAGATACCAAAGTAAGCTTTGTACTCAGTATTACCTCAGAATATCAAAATACGTTGGAGATTGAGAGTTGAACCTCAAAGCCACCAAATGTAGAATCAGGTACCAACATAAACAAGGAAGTGAAGTTAGTTGAACTTGGGATATAAACACATGCAAAAAAACTAAATAACAGGAAGTTATATAAATTCCTAAACTATGAGGAAAGAAAGAGAATCCTTCAAAAGAAAAATTGGACATTAAGATAAAGACCCAAAATCAAATACCCTTGATTTGGCAATCATTAATTTGAAGACAACCAGATGTGAATAAACAGTTGTTTTTTTGTTTTTTTACTGATGGGAAATTTATTCTCCTATTCTTATCATATATTAGTAACATAAGACTGATGAATGAAAACAAAGGAAAAAATGCTAGGTATCTTCTGTATTGTACAGCCGAATGTAAACAGTCACCATATAATTATGCCTTTTTTAAACCATTTTTTGGGGATTGCTATTGAAGAGAAGTATAACACTCTGGGAATTGCTCTTGAAGGGCCAAGAGCAATGACACAGGGGAATGCAGTTGAAGAGCTGAGCGCAATGAAAACTGGAGAATTGTGGTTGAAGAGCCAAGATCACCGATACTGGGAGGATTGTGGTTAAAGGTCACAGAGCAATGGCACTCAAAGGATTGTGGATGAAGAACTGAAAAGAATAACATTTTGCTTTCATGTTTTCTTGAAAATATATGCCAGCTGACTCATACAACCATACAAAACAAACCAGAATTTTTTCTTTTAAGCAGTGATGTGTATGTTCACACAACAAATCACTCAACTCAAATGGAGAAACAAAAACTATAATCAACAAGAAAAAGTGAGTCTTTCTAGCAGAACCATGTTTTTAGTCTTTCCCCTAGCTCACCTACTTCCAATTTTCACTTGCAGAAACTCAGTATCCACCAAGAATGTATCTAGCTCCTTCAAACATGGAATTAGGAAGGCATAACTTCAATTTTTCATTACATGGACAATCTGTATAATTGATTAAATTAAAAAAATGAAAAGCAAAAAAAAAAAAAAAAAAAAATACAAGAATACTATAGAATGATGTTATTGAACAATCTAATCAAAACAAGTTTACAGGCTGTAGACACAAATGTCCATTTAGTAAATCCACTTTATATAAATACGGTTCCTTTTTTAGACAACTCAACAAATGAATTAAAGAATCAACTATCAGTTTTTGATTTTCAATGGTTACCATTACTCATTTTATGCATTTACAAATACAACACAAAGAAATTGTTTATATTATAATTATTATAATAATAATAATAATAGCTGGCCATTCATATTCGAGGGTACCTGTCTACTAGGGTGGCTAGCTAACCTCTAATGCAGACTCTTGCTCAGACACATTTGCATTTGTTCAACACACAGAGAGTCAACCTGTGGTTTATACTGCAACTATGCAGAGTAGACCTTAGTTACAGTTTCTGGGAGAGAGTGTGTTATCTAGAATGATCAACAATCTGAACAACACCAGCACACTCAAACCCTCAGTCACAATGACTTGTGACTTTGTGTGTGTGTATGTGTGTGTATATATTTATATATAACCTGATATAAAATATATTTTTATTAGGACATTGTGAAATGTACAGACAATTGGCATATCTGACACACTGTAAAAGAAACCCTCATTTCAACAGGTAATATTCGAAACACCTATTTCTTACTGTCACATCCAAATATTGACTTATGGCAAGAGCATCATTGAAAGGATGAAAACTTCAAATATTTTCAATTAGTTATATTTATATAAAATAAATCATGATATAAACTAAAATATATAAGTTTGTTTATATTACTTATTCATGGAATTGGAGTTTTTGATTGAAAAGCATTGAGCAAACTAATTATTTTAGAAAAGAAAACATTTCAGACTTCTATCAACTTGATACTTTTTCTGTTTGAAATTTTAAATCATGAAAGATCTTCCCATTAATCTAATGAAGAAAACAGGGTAATAATAGCCATGAGGATATTTGTCAACATCAAGGAAGAAAAAGAAAATCGTCAGCTGAGAATCTCAAGCATTTCCGTTTCCCATGATTCCTTAAAAAAACAATAAATAAATAAAAGTACGAAAGAGGATATTAATTAAAGAATTTACTCACCACAAAAATATTTTTCCAGATGACATTCCATTCCCTGAGTACATAGGAGACCTCCTTGGCTATTGATCTTCATTTTAATTTTTATATATGACATTTTTATTAAACAAAAGTAAATTTCAGTTACAGAATTATTTCATAAAATAAGTTAACAGCTGCTTTTCATTATTTACAAATGATGTGGCCATTAGGAACAAATATCAAACAATTCTTTTTTCAGTCATTTCATCTTACTGCAATTTTACAATTGTGTCCAGAAAAACCTGGAAATATATTTTTTGGATTTTACCAAATTTCCTAATCAGGCAAATATAAAATTTGTATGTCTTCTATTCATGGGTTTAAAGAATGCCTTTTAAAACTTAACAGTAAATAAAAAAATTTTAATTTTCTTTAATTTCTGAAAAAATTTTTCTACTAAAAATCATCTTTATAATCAGAGGTTTTTTTTTGCCTTTCAGAATTTTGGATTCGTTTCTTCAAATGATGCTGAAAGTTTGGAGTCAAAAAATTCAAAAAAAGTAAGCAAATTTTTTTCTTTGCTTAAAAATTTTCAAAGTTTCAATCAATTCAGAAGGATTAAATCATTCTACTTTGCAAAATCCAATTTAAATCTTTCAGTCATGTTCTGTGATTTAGGATATTCATTAAAAAGCTGTTTTAGGCAAAAATCATTTTGTCAAGAAAAACAGCCAAACATTTATTGTATTTTTTTTTTTTTTTGGGATTTTTTTTTTGTTTTTAACCTAGGTTTTTGTTTTTTTGTGGTTAAAGTTTTATGGCTGGTTTTTGCTATAATCCTTGACCTGATCTATAGGAGAAGGTGGATTCATGTCTTTCTCAGTGACATCAGTATTAACACAAACTATCTGCTAGAATTTCAACTGTTCACAGATTCAAATTTCTGTGTTGATATCTGTCATGTCACCCCACAGAGATATCTGTCACCCTATCCCAGATATATATGTTACCCCTTTGGTGATATCTGTCATGCTACCTCATGCTACCCCAGGATGAGCCTCATAATGCTACCCCATGGTAATATTCATAACAACACCCTGCAATGATATACATTACACCTCCCCATGGTAATTTCTGTTACCCTATCTGACAGAGATATGTGATATCTGTCATATGAAGTCCACAAAAATATCCTTCATGACAAATGATTATTTTTCAATATCCTTCATTTTTGGATACTAAATCCCAAAATGATATCAAAAGGTTTTACCCCATTTATTTCATTCTTCCCCATGATATCCATCATCCACCACCTTTGATATCTGTCATTTCACCCTGCAGTGATATCTGTCATGCCATCCAGTACCTTTTGGGATCTTTATGAAAAATGAAACAAAATGAATTATTCTTAAATATTATCCACTTGGCAATTTTTAATTTGAATGAAAGAAAAATTGGAAGATAAACTGCAGAAAAAAGAAGTTTTAAATTTGATTTAAAAATAAAAGTCCATAGTTTTTAAAAGAGCAGAAAAGTGAAACTTTTTCAAAGGAATTAAGACATTGTGTATAATGTTCTTCTCCTTTATCATCAAACTGAGGCCATTTTATAATGAATTTTTTTGGATCAGATCTTATAAATGTTAAGTTTTTTTTTTTTATTTTTTTTTTTTAATCATATCACCACCAAGACAATTTTTTAAAGCCACTAAAATACAAGGGGTTACAGGATGTGGAAGAATTAGGAACAGAAACATCAGCAATGATTAGAAAGAAAAAGAATAATCAGGAGGACAGTAGATAGCAATTGACATTACATTTAAATTTTTGCAGATTAAAGTTGGCTGAAAAGTATGGAGGCAGAAGGAGTTCTACAAGTGAAAAACTGTTAGCATAAAACTTACATCTATAAGTTCAACTGTAAATTGATGAGATCTCACTGCCAGTCTAGTATTGCAATTTAAATTCATAAAGTTTAGGTACAATAGGAAAGGTCATCTGAAGAACTTACCATGAAAAACATTTATAAAAAAAAAAAGAGGCAACCTCATGGCAGTGGGAAAGTGATTGAAGCCAATTTGTCAGATCAGAACCAACAATATTGTAGATTCTTCTTTGGATCTTACCAAGGAGTTCCAGGTAAATAAATCAGGGGCACTGGACCATATATGGCAGCAATATCCTAAGCATGGATGAAGGGTAGACTTATAGACAGGCAAGATAGATTCCAGAGACAAAAATTGTTTTGAATGATACAGTGAACTTTCTTAGCAGCTGGCCTAACAATGGATTCATTATAGTCTTTCCACTTCATGTCAGCTGAAAATGTTAGCCTGAGAAAATGCAACAAGTCACTATCCTGAAGGATAGCATCAGCCATGATGATGGAAAGCAGAGAGAGGTCTCTCAAATGATTAATGAAGAGGAGTTTAGTTTTGAAGGCTTTAAAATTGACAAGTCATCTTTTGTACCAGTTAATGACAATCTTGAGGCAGTTTTGTACATCAGTTGCCATTTTGACCTTGTCACACTAATCAACCTTACTATCGACTGATTCTATATACCAATTACACCATGATATATGGCACAAGATGTTGAATGAAGACAGTCATAAAGAACTTTTAACACTTATCCTCTTTGAAAAAAAAAATAAATGATCAAGAATATAATTAATACATTTTGTACATAAATAAAAATATTTCATGGGCCATGCTAGAAAAATCTGCATCCATAGGAACTGACTCAGAGATGGCCAAAGAAAAGTATTTTTTTCTTTTTATCCAATGTAAGATTGTCAAATAAAAGCCTGCCTCTGAATCCAAACAATACATCAAAATAAATATGGTTCTGATATTTATGCTTTAAAGTTTCAGTGAAGAGAAAAACAACAAAAACAAAAGATGAGAAAAAAAAAAGAACGTGGCAAAACTTTTCATTGAATGCAAAATACATGTACATGTCACATACATATATGTACACTTGGGTATACATTGACATACATTGCATATTTGAGTGTGACTACAATTGTGTATGAGCTCAAAAATTATTGTTAGCTTAGGGCCACAGTGTTCTTAATCCAACCAGACATACAGTATTCAAAAATGGTTTTTATTTAATGTAGTGAAATTATTTTCAAGGATAATTATCTTAAAGTAACTGAACTGCATATCAAGAATGGTGGCTGGGGCTATTTTACAGCAACTATATATATATATATATATATATATATATATATATATATATATATAAATAAAGTACATGGCTACATTTATAACATATAAAATATCTTATTCTTTTCCTGAAATTAAATAGTTCCATTGTTTTTAGGACTATTCCTTTCCTTTCAGGGTAGGAATAATTATGTATAAAGCCTCTTATAATATAACATCCCCATTTTTGATTGCTTGTGGTTTTCCTGAAAAGGGTGGATTTATTTGAGTGCTTTTCAGGATAAATGGTGGATAGTCTGGACTTATAAAATTTTCATGGAGGAAAATTAAAAACTGAAATAGACTGAACATATATATATATATATATATATATATATATATTTATACATTTTCATTAAATAATATAACAAGTGTTGTCTATTTATTTTATGTAAAATTATCTGTATTTTTTGATAAGTTTGGTAACATTATCATTAACCGAAAAATTAAAATCACAATAAAACAGTCATTATTTTTTAATAAAATCTAAGCTTTTGAAAACAAATATTATCAAAGATAAATAAAAAGCATATCAACCAATATACTGCTTCTACTGATCTCAAATATATTAATCTCCTATATCGTAATCAAATGCATACTAATTATAAACAAGATGAAAACATACTAAAAAATTTAGTAAATTCTAATATATCAACTATAGATCCTAGCAAAAAAATTAAATTAATCATATACTACACTAAATCTAGTATATCCAACTTAATTACTTCGCAATGATTCTTCTCCCCCGGTTAGCGATTTGCAAAAAAAAACAACATAGTTTATAAATTCAAGTGCCTTTTGGGAGAGTGTATCTCCAACGAATTAAATAATATTTATGTTGGTCACACCACAAACTCGCTTTCACGACGCTTGACACTACATTTTAATGAAAACTCTAACATTTTTTTTAGGCATTTAAAACAACATGCCTGCCCGCACACACAATTCCGTAAAATACTTGTCGAAAACACAACTATACTTCGACATGAAAACAATAGACAAAAACTAAAAAATACTTGAAGCATTATACATCAAACAGTTAAAACCCAACCTAAACAAAATCAACTATGGAATCTCTACAAATATTCTTAAATGTCTATAATTTCTATAATTGGTAACAGAAGCCATTGGTTTATACCAACGGCTTTCCTTATTTCATTCTCTCAATTCACTCTCGTGTGGTCATGTGTGACGTCATGAGATGCGGTGCGATTTTCGCTTCTAGCGTCTTATATGCGCGTGTTTATCGTTGCTTAGTGATCCACTATGTAAACAAAACAATGACAGACTATCATCACTGTCGTGTCCGTATATTGTTTAATATGTTTGTAATTTACATCTTTGATAATGGCTTGAGTAAGCCGAAAGCTTAGATTTTATTAAAAAATAATGGATAAATATTGTGAATTTCTTTTTTCGTTTAATGATAATGTTATCAAACTTATCAGAAGTTACGAAAAAATTTTACATAAAATAAATAGACAACACTTGTCTATATTATTTAATGAAACGTGTATAAATATATATATATATATATATATATATATATATATATATATATATATATATATATATATAAATATATATATATATATAGATATATATTGCATATCCAATTTTCCTATAATGTTTTATTTTTTTTAAAATAAATAAAATGCAAGAATAAATTTTAATGTTTTTCATTGATTATAATATAAAAATCAGATAAAATTGAAAAAAAATATATAATATAAATTTTTTTTTGTTTTTTTTTTTTTAAAATTTTTTTTTAATAAAAATAAATTTTTTATTATAAAAATTTAAATAAACAAATCTTTTTATTTTGAAAATTTTATTTTTTTACAAATTTTTAAATGACAAATGTTTTTTTGTTTTTTCCCTGAAAAAAACAACGTTTTAGGTTTTTAATTAATTATTTAATGTTTTATAAAATAAAACCTATAAAAATATAAATAAATAAAAATACTTTATGTTTATTCTTTCAATAAGAATGAATTTTGCATTGTAATTTTTATGTTTGTGATTTATTAATATGAGATTTCAAAACATTTTATAGGAAAAATGATTAATTTTATTTATTTATTTGTACTAAAATTAAAATAAGTTGGAATCCAAATATTTCAAATTTTTGTAATTAATATGCTCTGAAAAATTTTTTATTTAAAAATAAATAAAATATTTTAAAATTATAAAAATGTTCAATATATTTATAAAAAATATATTTTTAGTTGTTTGGAAATAAAAATATTTTTATTTCTCTATATGATATAAATGAGTATATATATATATTTAATTATATAAAAGATTTATATTTTTTATATGTCAATATAAACATTATATAAATTATTCAAAAAAATTTTTTAAAATACGAAAATTATATATTTTGGTGAATGATATTTTTAATATATATATATATATATATATATATATATATATATATATATATATATAAATTTATATTATATATATATATATAAAAATATTACATATATCAGAATTACTTATATAAATTTGAAAATATCATTTGATAAGAAAACATATTTATTTTTGGATTAAATGTTAAAATTTATATGTACATATATTTTTTTTTCAAATTTATCAGAAAAACTGATTAATTTTTTTTTCTTTTTGATTTATTTCTAGGGTTTTTATTTTTCAATTTTAAACACTTTCTTCCTTTAATTTTAATTTATTAATTTTTTTCCTAATTATGCATTTTCATTCATTTTTATTAAGATTTTAAACCTTATTGAATAATATCCATAATAATATCATTTGATACTTCAAAATATATAATATATATTTTATATATATTTATATTATATTGTTCCCATATAAAACAAATTCTTGTAGTTGATTTAATATTCATATTTTGCATTTTTTTTTTGTAAAATGAATTTTAAAATTCCTATTTTTTTTGGATTGTTTTTTAATTTCTATTTATATTTTAATGTTTATATATACG